TTCAGCCTTTTAACATTGTCCATGGGGTTTTCTTGGCAAGGATACTGGAGTGGGTTGCCATATGCCATAAACTATAATAATCTACATTAGACACTTTTTTTTTCTTTTCCTGAATAATCTTTGCATTTGAAAGTCATTTTTTTGAAGCATCTAGAAAGTAAAATATAAATTTTGAAAAGTAATTTTTAAAAATGTAATTTTTAATTTGAAAATTAAGCATGTAGGTAAAAACAGGCAAAATCTTAAAGGACCAAATGATATTTTCCATCCATTTCAGAATACTTCAGGCACCATTTATTTAGTCACTTAGATTTGGTTAAAAAGTACTACATCTAAGTATAAATGTCCATAGCCCTTTTAGCTCCAAGTACATATTTTGAGTTTTGTAGTTGTTCTTACAAAATTGTTGCCCTGATATGTGTAGCCAGTTAGAAAGCACCTCAGAAAGTAAAATGTGAACTTTTGAGCTGAAAAACTAGAAGAGAATTTTGAATAGTTGGCTCTCATCTTTTGAAATAAGGATTTAAGCAAATAGATCATTGGGCAAAGAGTTTTTAAGGATAAAGTATTAGGTAGTTACTCTGTCAATTATTCAGCCTTACTTCAAAATGACAGGATGTTAATATCTAGGTATCACAGTTGTTTGATTCTATAATCATTACTTATTTTCTCTGTAAAGATTAAATACAAAGAAGACTATGAGAAAATGAAAGGAAAAGCTATGGCAACAAAAGATTCAAGACTTCTGCACTCTATGCAAGTAGCCAAAATAAATAGTGAGGTAAATGTCCTTCAACATCCACTCTTGTTATTTCTTTTGGATTTACACATCCCATCAGTTGCATGCTTACAGTAAAAATCAGTGTTTCTTCCTGTCAGACCTCTTTATCTAAGCAAGACAATAGTGGTTAGGGGTTAAAAGCATAAACCCAGTAGAGACTGGAGACAAAATAGTAATAATGACCAAATCATATTTATTAGATTAGGAACATGCCACAGGGTAACATAATTCATTTCCTATTCCCTTGTAATTTCCCTCTTCCTTTCTCTGACTAGCAACACATCTGTTCTATCACTAAACATGTCAATCATGTTTAACCCTAAGCAGTGTTGGCAACATGGATGATTCAAACTGTTCATGATTAGAATAAATGCAGATGTGCAATATTTGCACTGTGGTGAGTGAAAATGGTGGGGAGATACAAGATCTTCTTATATTATAAAAAGATTACTCGTATTACCAGAATATCAGATATTAGTTCCAAGGAAACTTGTATTGAAACTTTTGTACAAAATAAATTATTAAGGCTGTTATTTTGGCATAATGTGCATTTGTTCCACTGTAAATCTGCATGGGATTGTGTGTTTATCTGGTTGAAATATGCAAAAGTGGGAACTCAAACACATCCAGAAGCTGGATATTCCCCTTCTTTAGCAGGGTGGCTTATGTCAAGGGATGCAGCTTTGCAATGGAGGAACCCTTCCCCTGGACCACCACTTCCCATTATCCATCCACTCAAAAAAAAAAAGGAAGATCATCTTTTCCTTTTCCTAAGCAGAGGAAAATTTTCATTTTTTCCCCTCAGAGGAAGATTGGAAATTGAGCAAAGCTAGACTGTATTTTACTTCCTTCTAAATAAAGATAGGAGGTCCTAATCAGAATGCTAATTCTTGAAGGTTTCTTCAGGTACTGGTTCTTTGGTCTTTGCGTGACCCCCAGAAGAAATGGGTTTCACAGCACAGCCCCAGAGAAAGGTGTGGCATGCTTGAGGCCCCATGGGCCACATTTGATATACAGGTTGGAGGTTTTCCATATAAAAACCAATACCGCCCTACCTGTTCTGCAGCCAAAGAATAAAGCATGAATTGCTTTAAATGCAGTAACAAAAATAATTATTTTAAAATAATTGTTAAACTAGGCAAGGTAACTGTTAATACTATGTTGGTGTTTCATCAATATGCTTTCATATTTTGATCAATGCAATATTTTGATATTACTCTAGATTGCATATAAAAAAGACTTTGAGAAGAATAAAGCACATTTCCATTTACCATTGGATATGATAAATCTGGAACACGCAAAGAAAGCCCAGGCTCTGGCTAGTGACATTGACTATAGGAAAAAAATACATGAATATACAGCAGTTCCAGAAGACCTAAAGACACAGTGGGCTAAAAAGGTCTACGGGCTACAAAGTGAGGTAGGAAAAAAGGCATTTCATTTATTATTAAAAAAGGCTGATGAGAGTAATGATCTTATTAGAATCTGTCGATTATTGTTTGGCCTACTCAATCTGGGCTGCAAACATCTGGATAACGACTAGATGGGAGCAGAGAAATACAGAAAAATCTAACTCTTGTCTGCCATCTAGTGGTCCATCTACAGTTCAGATGGAGCAGCCGGGTTATTATCATCTACAGGCCAAGTGTTAGATTGGAGACCAATCCACTGCTCACATGGGATTACATATGCACTGTAAAAATAAAAATATTGTAACAATTTAGAATGTAATTCCACTTCAATTTTATTAAGATAATACATTTACTCTCAGTAGAAAGATATTTTGTTGAGCTGAACTCTAGTAGTACCAACAGTACTTGTGAATAAGAATTTTATACAGTTGTATAAATTTATAAAGTTGTATATAAAACTTTATAAATATATATAGTTCTTAGAACTTACATACTTATTTATTCATTTATTATTTGATTTATATCCTGCCTTTATTTTGTGCATCTCAGGATGGAGTACATAATTTTCCTGCTTCTTAATTTCCCCAGGGCAACTACCTTGTGAAGTGAATTGAGCTGAAAGTGACTGGCCCACCCAGTTGGCTTTCATGCCTAAGGGAGGACTGGAACTCATGGTTTCCTAATTACTCTTGTAACACATGTCTGGCCAATTCAATATATTTTAGAAATACCACTCTACTTGATATCTGCGAAATTTCCTTTCCTTTTCCTTTCAGCTTCAGTACAAGACAGACCTTAGATGGATGAAGGGAGTTGGCTGGATAGCAGACCGAAGTATCAATATTGAACAAGCAAAGAAGGCTGGAGAACTCATCAGTGAGGTCAGTTTACTGATTTTACTCAAGTATTATCATACTACTGAAACTTTATAGAAGGTGAAAGTACTTGTAAGTATGCAGATGGCATGACACAGTATTATGGTTTTTCAAGCGTGTGATTGACTGTCAAACCACCAGTTGGGTTGTATTAAACTAATTGCATAAAATGTTCTGCAAACAGAGAGGTCTGCAGGAACTAGCATTGTGTTGAAATATTGAAAGTAGTGTTCCATTGTCACAGCATAAGCTCCATCCTTTTCTTATGTGCATGCACTATCATGATGGGCTTATACAAGTAGTGGAGGTTGTAACACATTGGCGCAGAGCTTGCTGCTTTTATCATTTGACCTCCCACACCTACCCGTACTCCCCATATAAAGGCGGGGGGGCGGACAAGGATGAAGTTGTATGTGATACAAATACAAATGGGTGGAGCTTGCAATGTGTATCTCAGGGCATCATTATGGTTAGGAATGGATTTCTATGATAGTAAGATATTACCATAAATCTTAAATTCATACTCACAGTAATGCTTGTTGCATTTGACTGAAATATTGGAACAAGAAAGTATACATATTGTGATCATATTTAAATAGTATCTTTCAAGTTACAGTATTTAAGATTAATTTATTTAAGAGATTTATACAGCCACCCATCTCAAACAAATGTGACTCCAAGTAGCATACATAAAAAAAGAATACGATTACAGTTAAAATCACAACTACAATTAATAGGTGATTGGGAACCCACAATATACCTTATACCTCTCCAGATGGGAACACCTATCATCCTGGTCCCAATACCTGGGAGAAGAACCAATTTTTAATGCCTGTCTAAAGGCCAACAAGGTTGTGGCCAATTGTATGTTGGAGATGAGAACACCCCAGAAGGCAGGTGCTACAGTGGAAAAGGCATGCGACCTAAGTCCCATCATATGACACTGTTTCTAGAAAGGGACCAATATCTTTGTCACTCACTCAGATTCACCCAGAATGAATGCAGCCATTTGCTGGCTTACTTTTATCTAGACACAGCTGCAGAAAGATTGGAGAGGAAGAAGAAGGGAAGATCTATAGAACTGTCTTACATCCAAGTCAGATAGTTAAAGCCAGCCCTTAGACAAGCTTCCTTAATCTGTGAGTTAATGAAACTCCATTATTTAAAACTACTGGACAAAAATTTGGAAGGCAAAATAAAAATGGATCACATACTGTTCAACTTACATTTCATCAACTGACCTTGCTTTAACTTCAGAGTTGAGGGCAACATAAAAAACGTACTGCGATAGTGACCTAGAATGGAAATGAATGGAAGGCATACCTGAACAATTTTAAACTCAAACAAAAGTGATGACAGTGTTTGAACCAGTCTTAAAATGTATTTTAATTAGAAAAAGTATCGACAGAGGGCTGATGCTGTAAAGTTCACAAGTGTTGCAGACAGTTCCCAGATCCAACATGCGAAGAAAAGCCAGGAACTGCAGAGTGATGTGAGTCTGTCTTTGCCTTCTTTCTATAGTCATTTTTTATTGTTAAAAACAGTAATCCTTGAGGACAAATTGATTGATTGATTAATTGATTGATTATGTGTCATCAAGTCAGTGTCAATTCTTAGCACTGGAGATAGACAATCTCCATAACAATCTGTCCTAACCTGGTCTTTCAGGTCTTCCAATGCTGCACCCATTGCCACTGTAACTGATTTCATCCACGTTGCTGCTGCTTCTCCTCTTCACCTCTTTCCTTCCACCTTTCCAACATTAGAGCCTTCCCCAGAGAGCTAGGTCTTTGCATCACATGTCTGAAGTAAAATAATTTAAGCCTGGTCATTTGTGCCTTGAGTGAGAACTCTGAGTTGATTTGTTTGATGATCCAATTGTTTGTCAATAATCTTTCTATCCAGTTTCTTCATAGTCTAGCTTTCACTTCTACAAAGTGTCACAGGGAATACCATTGCCTGTGCTATTCTGATCTTTATAGTATAGACATATCACAGCATCTGAATAACTTTTCTGAGGCTTCATGGCTACTCAACCAAGTGCTAGCGTGTGGTGTATTTCTTGACTACTTGTTCCTTAACTTTTGAAGTGGCAAATGCCACCAAAATAGGAAGTGAATGTAACAGCAGTGAACATTTGCCATTGCTTTACATTGGTTCATAGTATTTCTAAGAGTTTTTTTTTTAAAAAAGCTCTCTATATTTCTCAAAGTGTATCAAGTTGTTGGTTGACCTTGTTTCAGATGTTTGTTGATAAAGGCCATGGGCTAAACTAGTAAGAAAAATGACTTTTTCTTCTGCATAGATCTCTGGAGAGCATCTTTCCTCAGCAAGACTCTGCTGCTTGTTGTTAAAATTACACTCTGTCTTCCACAATTGTTAGACAGAATTGTTGAGAGTCAGATTGCACATTTAATATATTGTTGCTGTTGTTATGATGATGATGGTGATGATGAAATCTTTCCATTATTTAGAAAATAGATATAATGCTATTTTGTATTAGCATAGGGAAAACCAGCCCTTTCTAGTGTTAGATAACATGTAAAAGCTAACATCAGCTGAAACCAATTTTTACACTATGAACAAGAAATTATATCTGTTTCATTCTCCTCGTGCAATGCTTCTACTGCTTATATAAGCACTGTTTTCATATTTATATGATTGACAAAACCAGTGCTTTGCAAACTAGAGTTTAGAGCAACCAGTGCTTAAGCTTTTTCATGAAATATTATGACTTCTTTATGTTAGATTGTTTGCACATGTAGAACATATAACTGCTAGTCAACAATTTCACCTCTTGGCTTTTTTTCTGAGAGAGTTGCAATCTGAACTACATACTACTTTATTTCCTATGATTTCTCCCTTCCCTTCCCTCCCCTTCCCTTCCCTTCCCTTCCCTTCCCTTCCCTTCCCTTCCCT